CGAAAAAACTTGAACGATGACAGAACGAGTTTAACCCCGGAGACTCACGCTCAGACTGTCACACTATTACGGTCCACATGCTTTCTCTGTGCACCGCAGCCCATGTTCCGTTGCAAAAAAATGCTTAATAGCTCACGCTTATTTCTTTCAACAAACTGAACTGGACTGAGGTTTCCAATCTACAATTTCGAGGAATTCCCTTTACTTAGGGCCGCGTACTACTAGACTCTCTTACGGTCTACCAGTAAAAAGAATTGCATTTAAGCGATTAATATCCTGATTCCTTCAGATTCATAACGCGACATTAGAAAAAGAAGTGTTCCACTTCTGGCCCCTTATCCTAATCTAGAAACGGTCGAATCGTTCCGCTACTTATTTCTACGTTCCATGATTCCTGAATAATAGTGAAGGTCGAACATACACCCGTCCGAAGCGGCACTTGCGTGGCGCGACCAACGGAGTGGCCACTAGACCTCCCGTGCGGTCGGAAATGCGCACTCGCGGCTTCATAAACAGTATTATCTGCTGATAAAGTAGACAGTATGTCCTCGTAGCTCGGCGTATTCGAGAACCAGTTGCATATGCATGTAAACGACTACCAAAAGGTGTCTTGCAGAACGAAGCAGCGTCCTAGAGCATCCCCAAAAGACACAGTAGGCCAGAGTGTCAGTAAGGAGTAACGTCTACATACAATGCAGGCAAATTCTACACTGCCGATTGAGGCATAAGGTGATCAAGAAGCCTTGGTAAGCGCGGAACTTCGCGGTGACTATGTCATGACAATTATTTCTGACTCAAGAGATAATGGTAACAGGAGGTGGCGCAATGCAGTCTCCGTGTATAAAAACAAGGGACAAGGCTTTCTACTAGGTTGCAGCAGACGTGAAGTAAGGTGTCGTCTCGAACAGAGGGATTGGTTAAAGGCTGGTGTATTGATTTAAAAACTGTTCTCGGTGAATGCCAACTCTTTTGTCGAAGTCATTTGCATAAAAATGGAAAGGACTAGTCGAGAGAGACATCACCGCATCAGAACGCCGAATTGTTTGCCCACTTGGCTGAGAAGCAGTGTGCTCAAACATAAGGAGAAACGGAGCACAAGATTTGAAGTTCTCGACCGTATGTGGGCTGGCCAATGAAACTCCGTATGTTTATGGGGCGATGTTTGGATTAATCAAAAAGCTGTCCCAAAACAAAGACGCATTTGTCGAAGAAAATTTTACCGCACAAATGAGCGTCTGAAACAAGTTATCAGTGAGTGGTTCGCGTCATTCCTGTGATTCCATAATATTAGAGCTGAAAGGGTGTCCGTCTATCATACGCAGTGTCAAGTTTCCAACCAGAATAAAATCGAATTGGGAAAGCAGTCTGAATATCGTCTTTTCAAAAGTTAAAAGGCTAATAAATATGCCGTTTTGTTTAGTTCTTATAACGGTACTAACATTTTACATAAAAATGGTCTTCGACTGAATTTCAGAACGAGTAGGCAGGCAGTGTACACTGTTCGGCTCGTGCTTATAAATTAGACAGTATGATATGAAACATTGTGAAGAAAGCTCCTTCGTTTTATCAAAAGGACAAAAATGAATGTGAGGCGATTAGTTGTTACGAAGGAAAAACACTGCCACCCATGTGAAGATTAATATTCCGGTCGGACAGGACAACCCCGCACGATAGAGTATATAAGGGTTCAAAATTGTCCTCGTCAAGGTTGAATTTCTAAACCGGATTAAGCATTTCGCTGCGGATGCGGTCCGAATATTTTTGGGTTGATAGTAGACACAACTGCCAATGTGGCGAGACTGGATGGATCTGTCGCGATCGGTCACAGCATATATAGTGTCCAGGCGAGGAGGGAACATCAAAGACTGCGGAGGTCATCAAAGCGCGGAGAGATGCGATTCCGAGCAAACTGCTAGTAGATTCCAAATACGTAGGAGTCCGCTGTGACAGTCAACAGGCAGCTGGGAGTCGATATGGGAAGATTACGTTTAAATCCGCGTAAATTATCGTTCGCGAAGAAGGGAGACGGGCACAAGCATGGAGGACTGCAAAAATATCTGCTCAATGTACGAGCATGGGGCTCGAACCAGTATGGATAATTACCGTCACGTCAGTCGTACTTACATCTGTGGTAAAGTAAGGCAAACAGTACTTTAAAAAAGTCAATGAAGTTCCTGGAGGATAGTCACATACTCCCACGGCTGCAGCACGGCTTCAGACAGAGCCGCACATTATTTCCAATTAACCGAAGTGTGTTTATGCACTGGACGAGCATGGTACGGCTTACGCTACTCATACTGAACTCAGGAGGTTTTTAGACAGTGTTTCACGCAGACACCCATTCCACAAGCCATTTGAAATTGAAATAAGAGGCATACTGCTCATATCAGTCGCAGAGTTTCTTACGGGTTGATCGTCAGTCATATGCAGTTGTGCCACAAATTAACCTCCTAGCCCCGTTTGAAGTGATGTCCCCAGGGCTCAGTACTTAGGTCGTCACTCTTCTTAGAATATATCGGTGACTCTGCCGATAACCCGGGTTGTAGTGCCATTATGTTTTACGACGATGTCAGATTAAGGAGAGCCATCATGTCTGACAAAGTTAGGCACGCACTTCAAGAGTCTTAACCAGCTAAGCTGCTGGTTCGCTCGTGGGCTCTTCATTTTCAACTGCGGTAAGCGCGTGATCCTAAGACTCCGTATCAGAAGAAGTAACGAGGTAGCTGATTTTTTCAGATGCTCTCTTGATAAGAAGCGCCTTCTAAATGTTGAGCAGCAGTAAGACCTCCGCGTTCTAGTTACCGCCTCGTTTAAAAAATCGTCACAGAGCTTATGGACAGCTAAAAGTGCGACACAGGTGCTATTTGTGCTGAGACGAGAACCTGTTCAAATTGATAAAGAAATGTCTCGTAAACCTACGGAGCCTTCGTTCGCTCTCACTTGCAATATGCCGTACAAGCCTGGCGTCCATGGCTTCGCCTCCAGAACAAGTACATACAAGGGCTATTCAGGTTGTGAAGAATCTGGACTGCTTGCTTTACAAAGCCAGACTAGATGAACTTGCTTTGTTTCACGTAAGTCGCAGGCAACCACGCGGTTTCGTCATTCAGAACTGCAAGATAGTTTGGGGTCGTTAATTTACCGAAAATTTCGATAACTTCTTATAATTGGCTGGGTCGGACGGTTTGCTTGGTCATCCACTTAAGGTCAGGGGACGTTGGCTCATATAAATGTCTGATAAAGCGCATTCTTGCATGAGGTCGATGAAGCCTGGGATGGGCCTTCTGCCACGGCTACGCATTCAGACACTATTCAAACATTTAACTGCGGACCAGTTATTCATTTACCGCTAAACTGTTACATATATAATCAAGCATGCATCATTGGCCGCAGTTTGCGCCTGGCTCATATGTTCCGATGATTTTGCACTTTGCAAGATCCTTGCTGCAAAAATGGATGTTATTGATTTGTTTGGTTGTGAATTGTGGACTTATATGGCGAAAATTTCATTCTCTAAATAAAGTGTCTTGAAGTGGTTGGCCTTAGGGGACCCATTTCATGTCAGCACGCACATGGACAACAGCGGTTATTCAATAAATGCATAATGACCTCCAGCTTTTCACAAAAACCAAAAGTCATGTTTGGCACTCTGTTTGGGTGATAACTCTTGTGGCAAACATAGTCCACGTTCTGACACTGCCGTATGGATCGAACTTTCATCAACTGTAAGCATAGCACTCAGAGGCTACTACGAACGTGTGTAAAAATGTCCTCCCCGATGCAAAGCCATTTCCAAGTTATAACGCGAAAACTTCAGCATGAGCTGGAAAAGTTTTTGTCCAATTTTCCTCAGATACTGTTTGGAAACATTGTCCCCGTATCTTGATCATGACTGAGGTTCTTACGAGAGAGAACAATGTTCTTTAGGGTGTACGAGTTAACATTAGCCGATGAGTTTGCACTCTGGTGCAATATGTGAGAAAGTGCCTTACGCAATGCATACAAGTAAACACAAAGCAGGACAAAGCTTTCACTAGCTGATTTTGCGGTCACTCGTACTTTGGATTATGATATATTATAGATCGTTTCGAACGCTGGGTTTTTCGCTGAGGTAGACAGAATGGTTACTCATACTTTGGAGGAAATCAAGCAGATGATGCCGCTACACTCTTTCAACGATAATGAAAGTGTTCTGCATTTGCCTAGCTTTTTTTCATCTCTAATTCTTCGATTTATCATTTGGGCTAGGTGCTATGCTGTTTTGTGTGGGTGCAGAACATCGCGGATAAGTAAATAAATATGCACCATTACTCATATGTTGTCAAACGAACCCGAGCTTGTAAATTTGTAAACTTCAATTTTTGCATCTAAAAAGCACATATTTCGTACTGAGACGTGAAGGCTTGGCCTACCTGCTGCGCCCTGATAACTTGTAACCTGCGAGCATATTGAAGTATGGCCGTGTTCATCTTGCCTAAAAATTATAGAATAATTTTAATTACAACACTTCCTTCCTAAGCTTAACTGTCGTTGTGCGTTAATGCGTTCTGTTGTCTTTGTGCCTTGCATCTGCGATCGCCAGCATAATAGTAACCATTTGCTGGCACGTTCCTTAGTCTACCGTCCGCCGCTGCAATGCCGGAATAATGGACCCTTATTTTCCTTGACAGTATAATTTTAATGCGTTCCAGTATTCGATTTAATTTTCAAAGTGTGTTAATTTCTTTGCAAAGTTGCCTCCCGATTGTCAGGGTAACTGAATAAAAAAGAAAGACCCCTACCATCCTACGCTCTTTGAGGACTGCCCCCATAAGTCTACTCAGAGCTGTCTTCGTTGATCACTCCCACCCAAAAACCCATTTTTTCGTAAAAAAAAACAGCAAAATACTAATTGGACTGAAAAAGCCAACAGGTAGCTATAACGTGCAACCTAGGTAGTACAAGTGAAATTGATTGTGAAACATTGTGTTCTAACAGGTTTAGGTCACGGAAAGTAAAGGCTAACCACATTTAATTTTGCGACCCCTCCAACGTGTTTTGAGTGTTTGTCTAGCATGTCGCGCTTCCAGTTGGTTTGTCCTTTTTCTCTTCTAAGGTTTCTTTCCTTAGCTGAAGAAGTTTGTTCCCTTTCTCGCGTCGTTCACTCGACAGGCAAGCGCACCAGCCGTAAGATCCTGAATTTTTATTTTGTTTTCCCAAATCATAACTTTCTTAAACTAGCCTTCTGACCTTTTGTCTAGCAATGACTCTCGGTATGGTTTTGAAAGGGTACATGACTGTAGATATATCTAAAGGAAATATTCTCCGCATTGATGGACTTTATTTTGGAACTCTTCATGTATTATATGTAGAGTTTCAAAATAAAGTCCATCAACGCGGAGAACATTTTATTTAGACATATCTACAGATATGCGGCACACTCTGTATTGATTTTGCCGCAGGAGACAACTGACAGGAGAATTAGGAGTTGTATAAATCTCCGCTTCTGATGCCTTCCCCCGTCGACCTTTCTTATTCGTAGTGTGATGCCGGTTGGCGAGCTGTCTCTGCGACATTCCAATCTATTTAGTGAGTCTTGGATGCACATGCATCATCCTGCAGGATGATATTGTCCTGCTACATCGTGCCCGTTTTGCCTTTGAAACCGTTGATTCCAAGTCTCTACTTGTCTATTTATGTCCTACTTCATGAAGCGTCGTCAACGTTTCACCAGATACCTAGAAACCATCGTCTTAGAAAGGGTAGTCCAGGTTAACAGCAAACTGTTCAAGAAGTGTCGGCATTTTACTCGTTAGGCACGGGGGGTCTATCAACTGTTTACTTCCAGAAATGCAGGTCGTCCTGCTCATATCGGGACAATACCATATGGTCGGTTTTGTGCACGCTTTATTATATCCAGCGTGTTACGGGAGCGTCTCAAGTGGATGATGTTCATTGCCTCTTCGACCCTCCACTTAGCGGCACGATGTTTGCAAACGCAGTATTCAACTTTATAGCAAACATGGTAGCCAAACAAGTGCTAATTGTGCCATCCTGCATATGCGAACAAAGTAACGTTTTCCAGATTGCTACATACTTGGTCCCTCAACCAGGCTTCTTGTGATATATGACTGCCCGACACGTCTGCTTCCTAGGTGAAGAGTCCATCCTCTATGCTCATATTTGGTTGCGAGATTAAACTTTTTGTTTTCCTGTACTGGTAGGCGAGTTTGCCTATGTTTGTCTCTAGTCGACGAATTTATTTGCTAAATTTTTTTGGTACCAGAAGCCATGGAAGGCCATGAGACTCAATCATGTTGCAATTGCCGTTCCCAACCTTGAGAAGGCATCTGCATTCTACAGGGATGTTATAGGGGCCAAAGTTAGCGCTCCGGAAGTAAGTTGTACTTGTTGCTAACCATTAATTCTAACAATCTGTTCGTTATTTGTCTTGTTCATGATAAACGAATATATCCGAGAGGAATTTTATTTAAATACAACCTTTGTTTGTTCTGAATGAGGTCCCTTATTTGAGTACTTTCTGGATAAAGACGGTAAAGTAAGGAATCGAGGTCTTCTAACGATGCGATTCCTGGTTTTCTGTTTTTAAAAAAATTTATGCCTTTTTATGCATCTATATTACGTAGATATTTGGCGAAGCACAGGCCTTTGCCACCCTCTTAGCGTTTTTTGTCCATATTCTCCTGCTGATCAACGAATCATTGTGTAAATCAGTAAGGAAATGCATTCATGAAGCTCCTAACAAACCGGCCTGCATTTGGCTGAGTCTCCTCTCTTCATCCTTTGATATTTTATCTCCCTAATCCACGGTTGACAGACCGGACTCTTAACTGGCCTGCTATACATTTTCTGAATCACTGTGGCACTTCCTACGCCCTTCATCTTTCACCTTTAAGCACTTTACGCGTTTTTCCCGTATAATTTTGACTTTAGTTTTCATAATCTTTTGCATATCTATTTTCTTCGCGTCATCATTTTACAAGAGTGGAGGCGTATCCCGTTTTATTTGACTGTATTATTAAGACGTGAAATTTCTTTTATTTTAAATGACTGATTAAGTTTTCTGGCGTCTTTCTTTAGCCGCAACCAGAGCATGGAGTCTATACTGTTTTCGTTCAACTAGACAACACTAAATTAGAGGTAGGTTCCCATGTCACCGCTCACCTTGTGTTTCCGAAGCTTCTGTCACCACTCGGCGACAAGAGCCCGATCAAGGGATTCCTCGAGAAGAACAAGGCTGGCGGTATTCATCATATCTGTCTTGACGTAAGTCCTAGAGCATTTCACGAACAATTATTTTTTCAGCCTCAGAATTGGACTTATGTGCCCAGGATTTCCCACCAACGCTCTTATGCGTTCTCTAGCGGGTCTATCTAATTGGGACTGGGGTTTTTGTTGGACAAACATAAGAAGTTAAGAATCTACGCCTTAAGACTCGAGCAGTCGCTGACAGGCGCATTTAAGTTAAGTTTAAGAATTGAAGTACGACTTTTCATGTTACCGGGGTATCCTTGTTTTGTTACTTAGTGTTGGCTACTTGCATTAGTCCTTTAAAGGACGACTATCCCATTCCCATCTGAAGCAAAGTTTTTAGCACTGCACCTACGCTATGCGTCCTTTATTGCCGCGTACTCAGTAGGTAACCAAACAAGCGGCCTGCCACCTAGTTGACTGGAATTCATGGTTAGACCGTTCATTTCGGATAATAACTAAATATTCACAACGAACAATATTGTCAACACAGGCAGAAACAGGCTTATTTTGGAAAATCACTGATAGTCGGAGTGAAAATCCTCGCCATGCAACATTTCAGGCAGGCACGACATTACTCTAGACTGGATAACAAGTTCAGGTCTCGCGCTGCGTTCTAACGCATATTCGCCCCACTTTTCTTAATCTGGGTTTTTGGAGTTCGTGGGTGATGACCACCTCCGCTCATTAAAGTTCGTGCATTGATTCCTGTAAGTGGCGGCTGTAAACAAGTCCTAACCTGTAAGAGGCCCGGATTTATGCAAACTGTTAATCTCATCAATTGGTTTTCGTGTCACTGGGACTAGGTTTCAGACATCAAGGCCGCCATCAAGGACCTTGGCGCCAAGAACGTGCGAACCCTGGGCAATGAGCCGAAGACCGGAGCTCACGGCTACCCAGTCATCTTTTTGCACCCGAAGGATGCCAGCGGAGTTCTCACTGAACTGGAAGAGCCCGACGAAGCATGGAAGAAGGCGCATCAGAAGAAATAGACGCCACTTTTCTGTGATAGTCTTTTCCCCTCCCTTACCCTTGTTACAACCATGTATGTGTCCTCAGTTTAATAGTACCTACTTTTTAAAAAGCGTTTCATACCTTCTGTGACATGCTACAACACTTAATTCAGACCTCCCGAAAGATAAATCTAGGCGGAAACTGGCGTTTCTACCCTCCTATTGCCTAAATCTAGACATAAGGGCAGCCAACCACATCGTTTGGAATAGATCAGATATTTGGGCAAACTAAGGCAGCTGAAATGTTGGGATGTCCCAGTTTTCTCGAAAGGTTGTTTTTTTTAAATACCACCATTCACGTCCGGGTTAAAGTGAAGATAGTGTTGTCTTGTTTGTACGCTCGCTATACCCAGTCTCAGTTCATCGGCAAGCGGTTGTTTCTAGGTTTTAGTTGACTGTTACATGGCAAACCTAGTCCATAGGCGGTGTCTTCTGGATTCAATATTTATGGGGAACGAGATACTGACGAGCGGATTGGCCATCTTGGCTCTTTTAATAGTATCAGCCAACAGTACCCGAAAAACAAACCAGAAAGATCGAAGGTCTGAACGTGAGTCTGTAGCTTTTATGTTAAACGTAGTCCAGCGCACTATATCTGAGCTATGCAACCATGCCACCTCAATGAGGGTTCTCCACTTTGATATAGATGTTGTCGATTGCGTCAGACACTTTGGCTCCGGAGTCCACTAGCGAGGCGATGGACTTTATTTCAAGTAAAAGCGCATGACTCGGACCCGATCCGAAGACCTCCGCAGCCTAGGGTACCGATATGGCAGAAAGAAGACCAGAAATAATCATTCTGAATCTCGTCCATGTTTCGTGCTTAGATTATGTTCCAGAGATCCTAAAAGCAAGTTGTATGCACTTGCTCCTACGATAAGGTCGGGTCGAAGAGCACTGTTCCCAGATACCTTTCTTTAAATAGTCTAAAAAGGATCGATCAGAAGAGACTGGAGCTCCGAATGTCCCCCACTGTCTGTGCTATGGCTCTTCCATTATCTTTAGGATTTCTTCGAATGGGTGATGGATTTCATCCTTAAAGCTCGTATTACAAGGCTTCCGAAATAGTTCTCAGTTCCTGGCAGACAGGGCTGATGGTGGTGTTGGTCTCACCATGGTGCTTTTTAGTGCATAAAACAGTTAGGATCGGTTTTGATCTCTGTTCAAAGCCGCCGATCTTAGGGATTTTACGTGTCTGGGCATCAGAAAGCGCGTTGTCCATTTGCCTATCCGTGGTAACATGCGTTTTGCATCTGATTGTTATAGACGCCGTGTGGATTTCACCTAAGAGCTGATTAAGCTTTAAACAGGGCACCGTCCCTATCGAGGTGACCTCAGATTGTAAGCTGCCGTCGTACGTAGGTGAATTGATTTATAAGTCATGGCGCAGAGTAACGTCAGATGACCTTCAAATACGTTTATGAACTGAAGCCCGCATGAGATCCGTGACGTTTGGCAAAACAAGTGCCAAGCACTGGTAATTTCAACTTATCGTAAGTCCTTCGCACAGTCTTGGTTAGCACACCATTATAAGAAAGACAGGCGTTGGCTGACAACACGCAAGCGGAATTAGCAGAAATGCAATTTTCTCCTCGCACCCAGTCTCCGCCCTCGCCGCCTGGTTGATCAACGTGCACATTCATTCAATTCGACTGACTCGTGCGTGGCAAGCACCCGCTGCAACTTCGCATTATTTAGTCCATTTTCGTAACCCGAGACAAAGTAATAGGTTTCCCGGGTGATTGCATGATGCAGGGGGTCGGAAAACGACTAGTATTGTTGAAACCCTGCGATATGTGCCGAACATCGTGGCACATTAACCGAACATTTTGAATACGTATTAAGGAAGAAAAAACGAGTCAGCTGAGACTGAAAGTCGCTTGACGGGGAGCAGAACCCCAAAGTTCATTCCTCTGTGAGAACATACAGTCAGTGTCAGTGGTTGTGAGGAAAAGTGCTACTGTTTACGTGCGTACGTTTTCTACGGATTTTTGGCGTCCATATCAGTCAGTGCATCTGAGGGCAATAGGCTTACGCCTTTGAACTCCCTATTTTTACATAAAAAAATCGATAATCAAACAAAAATGTGAAGAAATTACAGCATTAAGTGAATGCAGACATTGATTCACATATGTCACTGGTCTGATGGCTAAAAAGTCACATAGTCCGCCTGTTTCTGTAGCATATATCTGTCAAGCCGACATTTAAATGTCTCCACAGATTGAGACATGACAATCGTCTCGGGCAGGTTATTCCACGGTTCCACGACAGGATTGGAGAAGAAATAATTTCTCACATTCAATCTACCCCGGGGACACATAGCTTGAACGGATGTCCCCGGAGGTTATTTGTAGTGGCGAGTTGGAAAAGGTCATCGCACCGAAGGGCGCAGTCTAAACCACGCACGATACAGAAAGTTTGTATCAAGTCCCCGCGCAACTGCCTATAACTCAGAGGATAGAGATTAAGGTTAGTTAAGCGAATCTTGTATGGCAGTGCACTTTGACCTCTTATTAATTTTATAGCTCACCTCTGCATCCTTTCGAGCAGATTATAATCCCGATGCGTCCACGGTCTCCAGGCCTGAATTCCCTATTCGAGATGCGGCCTTACAAACGCATCCAAGACTTTGTAGAAGCAGTCTTAATCGAAAACTGCGAATGCCCGCTTGATGGCATATAGCATTTAAATTGCGGCCTTGGCCGCCTTACAACATTGTGTAGAAGGCTTTAGGCTGTCTGCAACCCAGACTCCGAGATCGTTCTGCTTTTCGAAGTGGCATTCCGTTCAGATGGTATTGCCGCGTACTAGGGGTCTGATTTCCGAGGCGCGGTATGGTGAAATTGTTCAAATTGAAGGACAAGAGCCATCTGTGGGACCACTCGTCCAATCGACAAAGATTTTCTTGGAAGTTGGTCTGGTCGGCAGCATTCTGGATGACTTTTCAGATTTTTATGTCATCCGCAAACATGGCACTATCAACCATGTAAAAATTCCATTATTATACTCCTACGGGAAATTACGTCTTCACTGGGGGTTTGTTGCGAGAAAGTTTACTCATGAGGGTATATTGCGAAATAATCTGCTTCTCTACGCGCTGCTGGGGTGCCCAAATTAAGCTTCGTGTGAAGGTGATTCACATTTCTCGATCTGTTCCCTAAAAGGGCCTTTTTTGTGCAAATAGAATATAGCAAAATACACTGATAATGTTGCTTATTCTGTGATCAGCCTTGATGAATCCTGGAGGTAATAAGATGCATAAGAAAACTTAGGGTTGTCTCAAAGATTTGAATATTTGAAAACTGTTTGGAGTCCGAACCATGTCTCTCCTTCAAGAATCAGATGGGAAGAGGGTACTGCCTTCCCTAAATTAAATATAAAAATAACCCTGCGCATGTGAACCGTAAAGCAATACCGAGATCGAGAATCTCTTGAGACCATTCATTCTGGCTACCCACTTCGAGTAAAATGGCAAGTACGGAAAACTTGATAATGTGAAGTGACTACCGCTAGCCAAAAGTGCGATGATCACCTACATCGACTGTTTATTGGTAGAAACAACAGACAAATATAGATATTTTCGGGCAGGTCAGAAAAATAAACTTTTTTGCATATTTACTCTAGTCTGATGACAGCCTATGGAACCGGCTTCGAAAACTCAAGGCATAAACTTCACCACTTTCTTGAACAACTCGTGTGACCTCAGCTTATATTCCTTAGGATGCTTGTCTTCCAACAAATACGTCTGAATGCTACGCTTATACAGATATGGAACACTAATTTTAAAAACACGAATTAGATATTGAGTGATTTCCCCGCAACCTTTGTGTAATAAATAAGAAGGCTATTCAGCCAAAGGCATTTATGCCACCATGATATAACTGGTCTTGTAACTTTGCCAGAATATGCCCGCTTAGAAACTTTGGACAGCCAGAAAAAGAAGAGCCGTCCCAAACTCTCGAAATTAGTAGTTATCAACATTTATCGCATCGAAGTTCATTTTATTCTAGTCTAATATAACCGGACTTATCATTTTACCATCATGCGGACTCTCACAAATGTTGGCATCTAAGTTCGGCATAGTTTCCAGGTGCAATTATTTGTCATTCAAAAACCAACAATGAAGGTTCGATAATGTTACCGAACTGTGTCTCTGAAAGCCCTCGGTTGGATTGTCATTTGCATACGGGAATACCCCCTGGGCTTTCTTCTCTTACCTGGCAGTGGCAACCCATATATCTGAGCAAATTCAGGCTTGTGTGTTTCTTCAGTCGACTACTGCCTGTGCGAAATTGCAGGTTTCGCTCTTAAACTAACTAAATGAGGAACGGCGCTTCGTTTTTCACATATCCAAACGGTCTATTTGTTGCAGTAGAACATAAAGCCAAGCCACAGGCAGCATGGTTCAGCAAGGCTTGCCAAAAAAGTTCGATGCGCTCTGCGAGGAGGGAATGCATGTATGGCAGAGCAGGAGCTCATATGCAAGCAACAGGTCAACAAAGAACGAGCCAAAGCATCCAAGTGCCATCTAGGTGGGAGTTGCAGCAAGAGCGTCACCGTGATTGATGGCCTGTGACGGTGCACGTCCTTGGTTTGCTCTCGCCTAGATTTCTGGTTGAAACACGCCTATGCTTGCAGACGCGACCTCGTGGTGGGTGGTACGCTCCAGCCAGCCGCCTGTTCTGCCTCAGTCTCTTAAGAAAATCGATTCTCACTCAAACCTTTGTACTTTTAGGGTTGGACCGACAGGGCTTACTGTAGGTAGAATGGCATTACCGACAAAGACAAGGGGGGGGGGGGCGGAATGCCATTTC